ATTCGCACCTGACAGTATGGCACTAACAATAATAAGGCAGTCATATTTTTTTTCTTGAAATAAGCTGTTTTCCACTCCATAAATACAAATTATATGTTTTATTTTGCATTCACTGTTGCACAGTATCAGAAGATGTTCCAAGCTGCAGTTCATTATTAATAGCATTTCTTCTTTGTTCTCCTGCAGATTCAGAAGATTCATATTTATGATGTTTAAAAGGAATGTTAAGAAATGTATTAAAATGTCATCTCTCCATTCTTGATATTCTATTTAATATTTTATTATAAAAGTATTAAATTTATTGACACCAAAAAGTACATCATGACTTACAGAACAATTACACACAAAAATAAACCAAAGTAACTAATTATAAAACAGCACATCAACAATAAAAATCAAATTAAAAGCTCAATGATTTAGATGTAATAATTGTCATATGTTGTTAACTTACACTTGACAATAAACTAGCAATTCTTCTAAAGGACAACTGAAACTTTATTTATCAGCTGGTAAGGAAACATTTTAGTATTTTAGAAATCAGATATTGGTTTATATCAACTAAATACAAGCCACGGATGTCAGTATTTCCTCGATACCAGCTTGAAATGCATGTTACCAAACACATTACTTAAACATATTTTACTACATTTTCCCAAGTCTGTATACTTTTAAAAACACTTAAAAATCTCACTTTTTAAAGCTCAATTTTAAAGCAAGATTAAGTTCTCTCAAGTAAAAAAAAAAAAAATTCATCCAGTCTCATATAATTTGGAAACTATCACGTCAAGTGACTTTTTTATGCTAGTACTAAATAGTAAGGGTCACTTTAACAGAAACATTCACTACATTTGTTTAGGTTTAATTTTTAATTCAAAGTCTTCAGGAAACAAATTATTTTCAAATTATTGCTTACAACAAATGTTAATACGATGCAGAGACTCCTCAAATTGGCCAAGTTAAAGTGACACTTAGGAATTAATATATGAGCTTCTGTCTTTGTTATGGACCATGAAATCTCATCTATACCTTAGCATTGATATTAGCTCTTATACTCAATGAACACTTTATAATGGGTGATACTTGGTTTTAAAAAATATTTTTAAATATTAATTTCCAAAGTATATACGGAATAAAGCATAAAAAGCAAAAAAGTATTTTTTAAAAAAGATTTCTGATTGGGGGCCGGCCAAATAGCTCAGTAGGCATTCCCAGGGCCTGCATGCCAGCCTGCCCTCAGGGAGCCCTGAGAAAGCAATTAAGACTGGGTGGTGGCCTGTGTCTGTAATCCCATCTCTTGGGAGGCTGTAAACAGGCGGATCACTACAAGTCCAATCTAGTAGTGAGACCCTGAACACCCTGTAGACCCTTCCCTAAGATTAAAAAAAAAAAAGATTGGTACTACTTTACGATATTCTTCCAAACTAAAATTTTATTAAAATTACCTAATGTTCACATAATAAAATTATACTTGGATGAATAACAGAGCTATCAACTATTTCAATAACACAAATTTTACCTAATGAAGAATTTTATTAACTAAGGAGAAGAAAAATAAGCCAGAGATCAAAATCAACTCACAAATCAAGAAAATTAGTAATAAAAGGTAGGAAATACAGTTCAATAAAGATGCTCCAAACAGAAAGATATATATATATAAATGACTGATTTGTTTTTTGGCTACTTGGCTCAGGCTGCCTTAAGGGCAGGTCTTGTAAGGCAGGTGGAGCTGGGATTGAACCATGGTATCCTGCACCTGACTGTGTTTGTAGGAGCAGGCGTTTAAACAACTGAGCTAACTGGCAGGCCCCCTACCTTGCTTAAATTTGACTGGGTCAAATGTATGTAAAAACAACAGAAACAGAGAAAGGGTGAGTGAAGGGGGAAAGGAAATTTTAGAATATGAGCCTACCTGCTTGAGTTCTGACATTAAAGTAATTTTTTTTTCGTTCGGACCCGGGGACTAAAAACTCAGGCCCTCACACTTGCCAGTGAAGCACTTATTGAGCCATCTCCCCAGTCCCAAAGTAATTTAAGTAACTCTGAATTCTTTGAACATTTATGTATTACATATATAAAAAACATACCCAAATATTAAGCTCTGCTCTACAGAAAAATTCGGAGGACCCTGATTTTAATGAGAAAAATGCACAGGGTTCAGCTGGCAGGCAAAATTAGACCCAAACTGTATCTATATGCTTTAAAGTCCTATGGGCTATTAAAGAAGAAATGTGACTAACAGGATGAATGTGTGCAAATATTCTCCCTAACCTGTAAAACTTGTAAGATAACTAACTCAAGAAGTCTGAGTACAAATTCTCTATAAGGCAGAACAGTCCATAAAATTTTCCTATTCTCCATGATTTCCTATCTGAAACCTCTATTTAGTCAACATGATAACAGAATATGATGCATAGAAAAAGATATTTTTGCATGAAGCTTTTCAATTTCTTTAGCATTTCTATTAGAAACTTCAAAATTTCTTTGGTTCACTAATATTTAAAAGAAATCACAAAAGAAAACAAAAATCCTCCACATACCTGGCAAATCTGATGACATGCTCGATATTGGCGTGTGGTGGAATGGCACAGAGTAGTCTGTTAATGAAGGCGGAATAGCAGCAGGATCAACTGAAGTCACACTGGGCACCCTTATAGAAGATGGCTGATACATGAGAACCCTGTTTTAAATAGCATGGGAAATTACAAATAATCTGGTTGTTAGTTCACAGAAGAGAACAGCTGAGCCACTGGACATTTTCAGATGTATGTTTACCAAGTCTCAACACAAGTAAGTGGCAGCTACTCCTACCACCTGTCTTCATTTTAACATGACTCTGTTGTGCCTTTCAATGGCAGGTGTGCCATAGAGCAAGTTGGCATTAAAATATAAAGCTCTGGAGTAATATGTAACACTTTCATCCATAAACAGAAAAAAACTCTTTACTTACATATGCTCTTATTATTGTACATATAGCAAGCATGTGGATATTAGTAATCTACTTGCAAAGAAATATGTAAGTAATATAGAGCTTTCTTAATAACAATCACTCAACAAGAATTTCTTCAAATCCAATTGAATTTGTCTTTGCTGTTTGAAATTTGGGAATGATCTGAGTATAACTAGTCAACACAAACCTGACAGCAGTACACTACAATCAGAAATCAGAATACCACGACCACATTTTGGGGTTTAAGACACAGTATCCAAAATTTAAAATGTTCCCTACCTATTCTTTAGGAAAATTATGATTTTGAAATTAGTTGTTCAAGCTCCTAAAAATTCAAATGAAAAAATTATACTTCATCATTCACTATTTATATATATGAAATTTAAAAATTCATTGTTTCAAGATGTAGTATAAAAATTAAAACATGTTTTTGGAAAAATTGAGGTTTGAAGACAAATTCTGTACATACTCTAACCCGTATTTTCTCATGGCTCACAGTAAACAACTAGAAATTCACAAGAAAAATGTCACAAATGTGTATTTCTAAACTAATCACCACTACTGACCCTATGGCTGCTGACGACTGTTAGCACCAAGTAATAAGATGCAAAAAGGAACAAAACATTAAGAATAGCATACCAAAACACTAACTACCAACTACTATAAGCTTAATGACACGCTGGAAAAACTGGTGCAAAGATAAAGAAGGTACAACTTTGTTAGAATTTAAAAGTATAATGACAACTCAGGATATCTGGACACTGGTTCCTATGGTTGAAACAATGCTCAGATCATTAAATAATGGTAGTAACAGATGAGAGTGGCATGACATTCATAACCCTGCTACATGACTTTATAATCTTGATTTAAATGTCAAACCACTAACTAAACCACTTAAATCAGAACTAACTGTTTCAGACACTGGCATCCTAAAACTGTTTATATTATGCCAAACACAAATTATTATGTTATTTGTCAAAAATATGAAAAGCAAAGTTATCTTAAAAGTACACACATAAAAGTCGTGCTGGTCAACTATGTCATTCTTCAAAGAACGAGTAAGTTATTTCAGACAGAATTCAGAAATCTTAAGATTTAAAACTGAAAAAATTAGAAAGCATATAAAGTCTATCTGAGGCTGTAACATAAGCCTAGTATTTCAATATGCACTTTCCAAAGGTAGATGGAGATAGATGGAAGGTATGATCCAAAGAGCAATATGCCTAAAATAGGGTTTTCTGACTTTGAATGGTATCTGAAGATCTAAAACCATAAGCAGGATATGAGGATTATTAGGAAAGGAAGGATATGGAGGGAGAAACCAGGAACTTGGAATAAGACAAACAGAAAGCAAAAAAAAAAAAAAGAAAAAGAAAGAAAGAAAGAAAGAGAAAAAGAAAAAGGAAAAAGGAAGGAGAAAAACATAACAGAGTAAGAAGGAGGAGATTAGGTTATATCTTATTGCTGGGAAGGAAAATTTAAAAAGGCTTTAATTTGTTCTTGTTGCTTCACAGTACTAACATTGTAATCTTTTTTTTCCTCTTCAAAATGTAAATAGACAAGCTTTTTTGAATTTTATTTATTTTTGAGACAGGATCTAACAATGTACTCCAGGCCAATCTTGAAGCTGCTAAGTAGTCTAAGCTGGCCTCAATTCATGATTTTTCTGCCTGTATCTCCTAAAAGCCAGGATTACAGACATGCACCATACATAAAGCTTGCTTTTATTTTCTTTTTCTGTCTTTTTAAGACAAGGTTTCACGAGAGCGGCCGAGGCAAGATGGGTCAAAGTCAGAGTGGTGGCCATGGTCCTGGAGGTGGTAAGAAGGATGATAAGGATAAGAAAAAGAAATATGAACCTCCTGTACCAACTAGAGTGGGGAAAAAGAAGAAGAAAACAAAAGGACCAGATGCTGCCAGCAAACTGCCACTGGTGACACCTCACACTCAGTGCCGATTAAAACTACTCAAGTTAGAGAGAATTAAAGACTATCTTCTCATGGAGGAAGAATTTATTAGAAATCAGGAACAAATGAAACCATTAGAAGAAAAGCAAGAGGAGGAAAGGTCAAAGGTAGATGATCTGAGGGGCACCCCAATGTCAGTAGGAACCTTGGAAGAGATCATTGATGACAATCATGCCATCGTGTCTACATCTGTAGGCTCAGAACACTACGTCAGCATCCTTTCATTTGTGGACAAGGATCTGCTGGAACCCGGCTGCTCAGTCCTACTCAACCACAAAGTGCATGCTGTGATTGGGGTGCTGATGGATGACACAGATCCTCTGGTCACAGTGATGAAGGTGGAAAAGGCCCCCCAGGAAACCTATGCTGACATTGGTGGGTTGGACAACCAAATCCAGGAAATAAAGGAATCTGTGGAGCTTCCTCTCACCCATCCTGAATACTATGAAGAGATGGGTATAAAGCCCCCTAAGGGGGTCATTCTCTATGGTAACAAATGAAGACTTCAAGAAATCTAAAGAAAATGTTCTTTATAAGAAACAGGAAGGTACCCCTGAGGGGCTGTATCTCTAGTGAACCACAGTTGCCTTCAGGCAAGTGGTTGGGACTTTTCTCAACCCCTGGGAAGGATGAGATTTGGGAAGGTGCCCTGAGGGAGACAGTTGATTTTTATCAGTAGCATGGCATGTCTTTTCTAATATGACATATAGGGTGCCTACTGGACGGCCTTTGTCTGTGGTCACTGTGCTGCTTGCTCTCTGCTTCCCAATAAAATGTGCTCTTTCACAAACAGTCAAAAAAAAAAAAAAAAAAAAAAAAAAAAAAAGACAAGGTTTCACTATACAATTCATGCTGGCCTGTAACTCAATGATCTTCCTGCCTCAGCTCCTGAGTGCTAGGATTACAGGCCTGTGCCACCACGCCCAGCTTAAAAGTTCATTTATTAAAAAAAAATTTCCTACTTTAAAGTATATTAAATCACCTATTTCTTCTCTGTCACTGAAATAAGGCAAAAAAAATCCAAAGTATTTATATAGTATAGCTTGTAGTAAAATTCATGCATATCTCCATTATCCCTGAAAGAAAATTTCAGATCTATAAGAAAAAAATACACTGTCGATCCCTTTCCCCTGTGGCCCCATAATCTTGAACAGAAAATTTGGGATACCACTGAGTTACAGGAACTTGGTCATAACCATCCAGCAGAAAAGTATAACCAGGAAGTATAAAAGTAAAAAAAAGAAACAAAGAAGAAAAATAGTACCTATTTTCCTAACACTCCTTCTCTTCACTTGATACTTCCCTGGAGATACTTTTCTCTTCATCCTGAATTGACACATTTAGGATCCCATTTATAGGAAATAATTCCCTTTCTTTTCCTATCACTGTGACTTTGATTTACATAAAAGTAAAAAAGGAAAAAAAACATCAGGTCAATGTCTCTAATCACTATCTTCATAGTAATATCTAACTACTACATACGTTCTGTCAATACAAAACTCTGAATGATTAAAAAACTAATCTTTGTTCCTATCAAAATGCTATCAAGGGCCGGGGAGATGGCTCTGTGGAATAAGCGCTTCCCTGGCAAGCACAAGAGCCTGAGATCAATCCCCGGTTCTGAAAAAAAAAACCAAAAACCAAAAAACAAAAAACAAAAATGCTATCAAAACCTAAGACAGAATGTAATGCAGGTACAAATTACTATATCAGTATCTGCAACCTCACTAAACATGAGTTATTTTAAGTGCAGACTGCATGTTTTTACTTAATGTCTGTAACCATTAACATAAAGTCAATTTTATATAAAGAGGTTAAAAATAATTGTTAGGATTATCAAATTATATTCTAGTAATTTTTATCAGAATCTTCACAAAGATCTTATTCATAAACAAAATGACTTTTAAACTTATGGAAAATATATGTATTTTTAACAGGTTCATGGAGACCTGTAAATGGCTATATCCTGCAGAACTATTTATGTACTGTGATGCTATAAAATAATAAAAATTTTTTAGAAAGCTTTTAAAATTTGTTTCTGATGATAGGATTACCCAATTATACAAATAGAAACAGGTATATACTATGGAAGTATACATTCTGAATTTTTATAAATTTATCATAACAAATTAAACTGGTAAAATACTATTAGCAAATATTAGTATTCTTTTTTCTTTTCTTTTCTTTTTTTTTTTGTGGAATCGGGGATTGAACTCAGGCCCTTGTGCTTGCCAGGGAAGTATTTATTCTACTGAGACATCTTCCTGGTCCTCCAATATTAGTATTCTAAACCACTTTTTACCATCAGAGAATTACATGGAATTCATACTTGACTCAGATTTGCAGTCTGAAAACAGGTTGATAATTTTAATTCACATGCCTAAAATATAATGTGCTCCCACTTTGACCATAAAACATAAAACATTAAAATTTAAAGTGGGCAGTGACATAAGCGCCTGCCTAGCAAGCATAAGGTCCAGAGTTCAATTCCCAGTACACACATACACACACGCAAAAAAAAAAAAAAAAAGATTAAAATTTAGAATCAATTCTTTGGGGTTTTTTTGTGGTACGTGGAATTAAGCCCAAGTCCTTGTGCAAATACACAAATGTTATATCACTGAACTACATTTCCAGTTCTGTAATGATTCTTGATCCAAAGGAATGCATACATAATTTATCCATACTCTTGTTTTCTGTCTTTAAACTACCTTGAACAAAGCAAGCACCCAATTTTTAAGGAGGTGGAAGCATAAAATATAAAATAATCTTCGAATATAGGCAAAACATCAGAATTTTTCTAAAGCTTTAGATGGTACCAGTTCCTTTTGAAAGAATATACAAGACTGCATTTTACATTCTACCATGTTGCAAGAAAGGGGCTAGAACGGTCATTAAAATGGTATCAGCAATTCTCTGTATGTCAGAAGCGTTCACTTTCATTGTAGTCCTCTATAAAACTGTTTGTAAGAATAATTTTTACTAAGACAGTACATTCTTAATATGTTTACCTTACTTCTCACTATTTGTTCTCATCTACCTTCTATCCAATGGCCAAGAAGTCCAATGATAAACTTATTCAACAGAGGAAAAGCACAAAAATTCAAGATGGTGAAACACAAAGACAGGTTATGAAAAGAATGGCCCAGGAACAAAAGCCTACGAATAGGAAAGGATCAGATGATAAACTATAGCATAAGCCAATACCATGACATCTTAATAGGCAGCATCTACCTACCACAAATCAGTAAATGTGATTTTAGCACAACACATACACTATTAGTGTTCACAGCAAGTTCCAATAAAGTATTCTCAGGTATCTTTTTGCCTTTGGCCCTAAATATGCTTAACATAATAACAAAGAAAGCTCATGCTAGTCAGTGGGTTCCTAGGAAAAAACAACAAGGTGGCCATGACACATTTTGATGCCTGGCTTAAGTTTCAGTTCTTTATTTTATTTTTTTTAAGTTTCAATTCTGAGACTTAAGTTATCGTGTCTTCAGTCATCATCACATGCACCAGGTTAGACAGCTCACTTTTTTCTCCCATCACTCTGCCTACAGTCACATGTAGTACACTTCTTAAGTATCACTATGGAATAAAATGCTATTAAGTAAAGCCAAACAACCCAAACTAGAGTAAACTCGATGCAGTATGTATCCTGAGCACTATGCTTCTTTTTATTAATGCTGTGTGAGAACAAATTAGTTTAAGCAGTGAAGCCTTCAATTCATTAAGTGAATTCTGACAGTTTACAAGCATTTCTATCAAGAATGGTAGTTATTTAATGTCCTTCAAGCATCTAATAAGATGACTACACTGTATAGCTAGTCACACAACAGAACAAATTTAATCAATTATTTCCTAATATTAAGGCACCTGTAGTTAAAAAGTATTTCATCATAGATGTCATTTTAATATGTAATTACATGAAAGATTCTGAATTTTCATTTATCTTTCCATGTGATTATCTGACTAGAGAAGCAATATATATGTAAATCTAGTTTGTATTAAGACTTATACTGACTTCATGGAAAGAGCTAGGTATATAAAATTTATACAGACTTTAAGGTCAAAACTTTCATGTTTTAATCACGCTTTCTATTTAGATTTGTGTTAATTTTTGTTTTCTTTAAAAAATAGATGAGGAGGGCCGGGGAGGCGGCTCAGCAGAATAAGTGCTTCCCAACAAGCGCAAGGGCTTGAGCTCAGTCCCCAGTTCCGCAAAAAAAAAAAAAACTAAACTAAAAAATAGATGAGGGAGGGCTGGCAAGATAGCTCAGCAGATTATAAAGCACCTGTTCAGGCAGACACAGGGAGTGGGGGTTCAAACCCCGGCATGACATACTGGCCTCGCCTCCTGGGCACCCAGAGAGAGCAACAGATTGGGCGTGGTGGTGCCTGTAATCCCAGTGCTTCGAGGCTGAAAACAGAGTCACTAAGAGGCTGAGCTGTGTAGTGAGACACTGTAGACCCTGTACTAAATACGTTAAAAAAAAATAAAATAAGTAAAACTAGATGAGGGATAGCTAAGTATTGCAACTATTCTAAGTTCACTGCATACTACGGTCATTTTAGATTTTATCACCTGAAATGTATATCATTTCTATAGGTAGCTATCCATGTGGAATCAATTCAAAGCATCAGTAAACTCAATCTTTCAACCAGGACTGACTACAACTAATTATAGTACTTAAAACTCATTTTTCCAGCATATTATAATGGTTATGGCAAAGTATTATTTAAAATACTGTATGTAAGCATTCATTCTCCTAATTCTACACCAGTAAATATTTGAAAAATATATTTTCATTTTTAATCACGAAAATTAAAGTTACAGAAGTACCAACCACACTGTCTTGAAGGAACAATAAACAATCAGCATGTCAGAAAAAAAATCCACTCAATCATTTTTCTAATTTTCTCCTGCAATTAAAGTGTCACTCCAATTAATAAATTATGAAAACATTTGTTCTTATCCTGATGTATAAATCATATCTGAAAATACATTTAAATAAGAAAGCACTGCTTAGGCAGATGCAGGGGCCAGGAGTTTGATCCCCTGCCTGCAGGGCCGGGTCACCCCCGAGGCATGCTGAACTGGTGATTTGAAACTGGGCATGGTGGTGCACACCTGTAATCCCAGCGCTTGGGAGGCTGAAAAACAGGAAGGATCACTACAAGTCCAATCTGTGTAGTAAGACCCTGTAGACCTTACACTAAATACATAAAATAATAAGAAAGAAAAGACCTCAAATGGTTTATTAAAAGTAACTAAAGAAAGTTGCTTAAAAAAGTTCAAAGTTGTAAAATGTATATTGCCAGGGAGAAGGCTCAGTGGAATAAGCACTTCCCTGGCAAGTGCAAGGTCCTGAGTTCAATCCCCAGTCCCACCAAACAAACAAAAAAAAGTATACTCTAGAGACATACTGGGAGTATAATTCTTTCCATTAAAAAATGTCTAGAACAAGTAAATTTTGAAAGGAAAAGACCAATGGCTGCCTGTATCTGGGGAGTATGGAAATAAAAATGCAAATGACTGGGATTTTTCAGGTGCTAGAAATATCCCACAAATGCCTTGTGGTGTTAATTGAACAACTCTGTATAACAGAGCTGTTAAACAAAAATAAATGGGCTGAAAAGCCAGAGATAAGACTAGTACATCCAAGTCTAAAGGTATTCATGGGTTGTAAGAAACACTCTGCTATATGTATTCTCAAATCTGTGACACGTGCCTATTGTTAACCATTTGGACCTGTCTTTTCCTATAGGTCAGAATGGCTTCTCTGAGATGAGTTGGTCAGTATACAATCCATCTCCTTGCCCATAATTTGCACTGGACATGATGGAAAGGAAAGGGAATCAATTTTCACTGGGCAGCTACCACATTCCTAACAGATGGTAGGTTTTTTCATTATCTTCGTGAAACCTGAGAGCAATGTACCTGATTTTGCAGAAGGAAAAAAAAGGGAGCTCAAGCAAGTTAACAATTTTGAACACAAAGCAAGTAAACAAGTGCCAGAATTGTGAATCTCCTCTTGAAGATGCCTAATTTCATACTTAATTACAACATACCTCCTCATGCTGGCCTAAAATGCTAAATTTCCTCACACAGCTTTAAGAAATTAACAAAAAGGTTATCAAATATGAAATAAATATCTCAAATTTTCACTTCCTGGAGATGTAACTATTTTTGTCATAAAGTCTGCTTTCCTGTAACATGCTTATATGAATATATTTCACATACTAGGAGGCAAATAAAAATTACCCGCTATTCTGCTTCTCAGATTTAAAAAACCTAGCAAAAAAACAACTAGTTAAGTGTAGCAAGCAATAGTGAACTATAAATTAACAAACCCTTTGGTTGGGCTGCTTTGTGTTTCAGACATAAAGATGCATTTCCTTTTGGCAGGAGGGTCTTCCTCTTCATCAGAAGAGCTTTCTATTGTTAGGTCGATAACATCCACTTTCTTCTTGCTTGCTTCACTGGCTACAGTAACTGAACAAGGCTTACTGAGGACGCTTGAACCTAGAGGCAAAGAAAGAAAAAGGAAAACAGAAACTCTAACCACAACAGTCTTAATTATGCAGTTTATCTATGACAATACACAGCCAGGCAAGCCACATACTCTGTCTACCTCACTAACTCTAGACGTCTATAAAATGACTGCTTGCTTAGGAAGGCAGCAAGCACGAGCATTATTTCTTGACAAGGGATCAAAAGTCTTCAGACAGCATATTCATAGTTCTCTCAAATATTGTTGCTAGATTTGTACAGATTCTTTTGTGGCTCAAACTGTCTTTTTGTTTGGAGAAACCGGGGATTGAACTCAGGCCCTTGCACTTGCCAGGGAAGCACTTATTCCACTGAGCCATCTCCCCGGCCCCTCAAACTGTCTTGCTAACAGCCATTCTACAAACCAACCTCTGGAGTTAGGGAACTGGTCTCAAGCCACGGGAAAAAGTATATGGTTTCACTAACTGCATATTCTCTCAGTTATGATTGAGTCAGAATCAGTAATTTTATTATAGCCAAACTGTTCATACCAAAGAATGTATAGGCTTCTCACTATAAGCCAGAATCGATTTTTTAAAAAAAAAAAAAAGTTCACTTTGATAAGCTGGAGAGAAAAAAACACCACACTTGGCATTTGGCACTCATTTACAGTTACTGTCACGAATTATAATCATCCAAATTCCACTAAGATAGTCTCACATGTATTAACTCATTTGCATAAAAATATGTTCCATTTACTGTTTTCTTAAAGATAGGAAACTTGGTCACTAAAATCTTGAGTTAAGTACTATAATATTAGCATATATTCATCGCACTGGGAGAACTTTCAAACACAGTAAAAGTGAAACTTAAAGCCAATGAGGGAGATGGCTCAGTGGAATAAGCACCTGCCTAGCAAGCACAAGGGCCTGAGTTCAATCCCAGGTTCTGCCAAAAAAAAAAAAAAAAAAAAAAAAGTCAACGAGTAGAGTTGTTCAGAGAAAAAAAACAAGCTTACCTACAGATTTCGACTTACCTAAGTTTACCCATGGGCCTGTACTCAACAGGGAATTGAAGGAGAGGAATACATCCTACTTAACTACAGCCATGATAAAATTCCATCTCCACCACAAAAAAAGGGAAACAATCTTATTGTACGTCCTTCACAACTATTCCATGTCCACCTGCCTCCTTACATTAACGGGTGACAGATCTCGCCTATCTAAATACACTAGGGCCGAGAAGATGGCTCAGTAGAGTAAGTGCTTGCCTGGCAAATGCAAGGGTCTGAGTTCAATTCCCGGTTCCGCCAAAAAAATAAAAATGTATAAATAAATTCCATTCTTAATAAATAAAAATACACTGCCACAAGAAGCTGTGCCTACAGATACTCTCACTACTGCCCACATAAATACTTCTGATTTCTCATTTTATAACAAACTATTAAAATTGTTTTAGGTGGCTATTCCATTTATTTTATATGTGAAAGGCATTATCAAAAGGCTGGTATAATGGTATAAAAGAGCACATTTGTCCTATTCATTTGTTTATTTGGTACAGAGTCTCACTGTGCAGCTTGGACTTGTAGTGATCCTCCTGTCTCAGTCTCCCCAGCACTGGGGTTACCGACATGTGCCACCACACCCGGTTTTCATGGGCAGCATGGTGCGCCTAGGGTTCTGGGGCTGGCGCGGCATGTGGTACCGGGGATCAAACCTGGATCTCTGAGCTTGCTGGCAAATGGTTAGATCACTGAGTTATCTTTCCAGTCCAATAACTGAGGACATTTCTTAAAAAATTACAGATGATCAAAAAGTAAAGTTAGAAACTGAATTCCCAAAATAGTTCTATTTGCTATGATCAATAATAAAAATAATATTCTACAAGTCACAATTCTTTGTACTACTCTGCTGTCAACTTGCACATACTTTCTATTTTTGTACATGGCTGGCTGGATACTTTCATAGCTTCTTTCTTCGGCCTCATTGGACACCAAGAACCATCTTCTTGGAATTTGATCTCATCCACATCAGAACAGTCATTGAGAATTTCCATAAAAAGCCTATAAATTAAGAAGTACAACACATACATATTGTCAATGTCTTTGTTCAAAAATGAAGATAGTAATATAAGACACCAATAATCCTGCTTTTTATTCTTGTATTTTAATACTTCACACTTTATATAGTAACTATTAATGCACTCTTCCTCCATGGAGAGATGAATTAGACTTATTTAATGTGGTGTTAAAGACTGAAACCAGGGCCTTCAGAAAGCTAGGTAATTGCTTATCAATGAGCGAGAGCCCTTAGCCAGGTTTTAGGCTTATACTAGACAATATAAGAATTAAGCGACTTACTGAGTGACATTTACAATATAAGTGACTAAAATAGCAATTAAAGCTGGAGTTTCCTAGTAGGACTGGCAGCTTGCTCCTGCCAGCTTGAACCACAGATGGTACAAGCATGACTGTCCCATTGCGTGGCATGAACTACCAGTGGTTAGCTATTTAACATTAGACAATGGAATTCAAATCAGATCCACCAAGCAATGAGACATGAATTAAAGTCCATCATGGATGTGTTAAGAAGAACATGTGCCACAATACATAAACAGACAAAGTTAATAACTTATAAGCTTATCAAGAAAAAGAAACATGGGAATTAAGAAAGCAGAAAGGAACAGTGACATAAAAGAAGTCGCAATAAATAGAATTCAAAGCATACAAAATATTTTCTAAGACAAGAACAAAACTAAAATTGAAGTCAGTACAAAAACCTATCTGGAAAATTTGTTACATTTACAAACAAATATGAGACACAGATTTAAAAAAAAAAAAAAATTGAAGTTTTTTTTTTTTATCTTTTTTTTTGTGCAGGGTCTCACTATGCAGCTTGGACTTATAGTGATCCTCCTGATTTACGCCTCCCTAGTGCTGGGATTACAGGCATGTGCTACCACACCTTGACTCCATTGCCAGCTGAGTGCGCCCAGGGGCAGGGCCAGCACAGCATATGGTGCCTAGGATTGAAGAATGGCCCGTGTTCACCTAAGCCAAGTGCTTAGTCCGCTGAGCTATATTGCTGGCCCTGAGTATTTTAAACAGAATTAAAATATAACAACAGTTGTGAAATGGAGGTGGCACAATCACATGATCACAAATTAAGATATAATAAACCATCTTCATTTTATACCATATACAAAACTTAACTTAGCATACACAGATTGAAATGAAGTACTTATAAAACCATAAGAAAGCATTACACAAAACTTTTTTATATTGAATACGGAAAAGTGTCTTAATACGATATCAAAACAATAAAAAGTTGATAAAAAAAAAAAAGTTGATCCAAAGGAAAAAAACTTATCTCAAAGACAGTGTTAGAAATTCAAAAGCTAAAATTGCAGAAAATATATACCAACAAATATGTATCCAGAATAGACAAAACTATCAATACTCCATAATATCAAAACGATTTTGATGTCATTTAAAGAAAACATTCAGAAGGAGATTAGACAAGAAAAAGATGCTTATGCAATATTATTATAATAATATTTATTTGATACAGGGTCTTGCTACATAGGTCAGACTTGTAGTGATCCTCCTATCTCAGCCTCCCCAGAGCTGGGATTACAGGCATGTACTATCACTCGTGGTTTTGGAGCCTACACAGGCCCTGCTATATCCTCAGCCTGCTTAATGCGTTAGCAATGAGAAGTTCAAATTAATTTTACAATGGATTACCACTATCTACCAGTATTAACATCTATAATTAAAAACCTATCAAATATTGGAAGAGAATGTTGATCAACAAGATTTTTTCCAGGCTGTTAAACTGTTAAATGGAAAATAAAATAAAACAAGCATTTGTTTTACTGATAACAAAATTTTATTCAAAGTAGTTGCTTGAGCCAGGGAGACAGCTCAGTAGAATGAGCGCTCGCCTGGGAAGCGCAAGGTCCTGAGTTCAATCCCTGGTACTGCAAAAAAAAAAAAAAAAAAAAAAAGCCAAAGTATTTGCTTGAAAGATAAACAATACAGGATTTAGGCATGAATATTCATATATGTATTTGCAGTAATGCAAAATCAGAGCACTCTATTGAAAACATAAACCACCCCTGGTAAATGACACAATAGAATGTGACTCAACAATAAAATGAACTATTGGTACATGCAATAAAATGGAAGAATTTCAAGTAAGTATGGTAAAGTAAGAGATACTAGACAAAAGACTTACATACTTCATCTTCCTATTCATGTAAAATTCTGCAAATATCCACATTTAATTCTCAGATGGTTTAAAAGAATTCTACAAGTACTAATACACTGCAATAATCTTCCAGTATACATATAAACATCAAAAATATGTGGTACATATTGAAAGAATGATAAAACAACTGCAGCAAAAGTTAATGACTGATGTACTTTTTTTTTTTTTTTTATTGGCAGAACCGGGGATTGAACTCAGGCCCTTGCGCTTGTCAGGCAGGCACTTACTCTACAGAGCTATCTCCCTGGCCTTGACTGATGTATCTGGGTTAAAGTAAGACTGGAGGTTATTTATGCAAATGCTGCAACTTCTCTGTAAATTGGAAATTATTTTTATTTTCTTTTTTTTTTTTTTTTTTTGTGGAACCGGGGATTGAATTCAGGCCCTTGCACTTGCCAGGGAAGTGCTTATTCCACTGAGCCATCTCCCCGGCCCCTGGAAATTATTTCAAAATAAACTAAAACTCTTATAAAAATAATCAGGCAAAACAAGTTTTGAGAAAAGTGAAAAGTTCCATTCACTCTTCATACACTTGCTCCTCTCCCCAAGAGGTCTCTAAAATATTTTTCAAAAAAAGAGTGTAGGATTATCTTTCAAGCTCTAGAATATTTATTTTTCACTATGTGATGAGGGAAAATCATATGTAAATATAAAACTGGAAAGTTATGATTTGAATGTTTTTAATATATTAATAAACAGTAAATACCACAGGAGTGGACTACTTCATTCCATTAACTGTATTTTTAAATCTGTGCATCACTGGGTATTGCATTATGTGTTATTGTGTAATTACTGTATAATTTTTTAAAGTGTCATCAAAAAAAGGACACCTCACTTACTGAAAATACTTTATATGGACTTTTACATCGTATAATTTTGAGAAACAAAACATAAAGGAAAACTGTTTCTCCTAGTTCCTAAAATAGTCATCCCCATCCGAAAACCTGAAACTTTTCCAACATCAATGCTCAAAAGTGTTCAGATTTTGGAGTATTCTGAATTTGGCATTTCCAGATTAAGGATACTTACTTGGTAAAGTTCATGCAACTAAGTAAGACTGAGTAAAATTAAGTATTAAATAAAAATACTCGGGGCTGGGGAGATAGCTCAGGGGCATAAGAGCCTGCCTGGCAAGTGCAAGGTCCCGAGTTCGGTCCCCGGTACCACCAAAAATAAACAAACAAACAAACAAACAACTAAATAAAATGCTCAAATACCATATTTTATATACTAGAATAGACTATATATTAGATTGTGCTGAAGGAGATACAGCCAATAGGTATTGGAAAGGCAACAGAGAAGACAATACTCATTTAGAGATATTGGGTATGTAGCTCAGTGTGAAGATCCCACGTTCAATCTGCAGTATTGTAAAACCAAACTAAACCAATCCAACGCAAACAAAGTTGAGGTTGGGATGAAGTATTCATGGCGAGAAAAGCTTAGCATTCATAAAGCCCTAGGGTGTATCCCTAGCACAATAAAGAGGAGGTAGGGAGAATATACTCACCCATCTAATATTAGACTTTCATATGCAGCTTTTTTATCACACACTGGACAAATCCAGGTGGGCTTCTTTTCATTCATTTGTAGATAAAGGGCAGCATCAAAACACTGCAGATGGGTACACGTCACTGCACGGCATGGGATTGTTAGTCTCATTTTTCCTAGCTATAGGATAAGAACACAATGTGGAAACTACTTTAAAAAGAACAAAGCCTCACAGAGAACCGAAACAGAAACAGTCTGAAGAAAGCACACAAAAAGATAATCACAAAAAGAATCCAAATCAGAATTTATTCCCACCAACATTACTTTTGTTCAGTCCATTTGATTGCTGTACGATTTCTGAAAGATCATTTTACTTTTTCAAAGATATAAAAAGATACACATACAGTACAATAAAAACAAGACTCCTGATCTCGTGCCAATGTGTTACAGTTAAATATTGTTATGCATTGTTTACATATTTTTTCATGTTATTAATCAAGTTTATATTTAAATTTTCTTTCCAAAAATTGTATTTTGTACTCAATTCTATGGAGCTTGAATGACACCAAGATATGTACAGTACAGAGGTTAGATTAGACTTTCCTGTATAACCTGTAAAATTTCCCCATATATTTCCTTCACAGAAAATATCTCCATTTAAAAACAGCTGTTAATACACAACACAGGCCAGACCCAGTCGCACATGCCTATAGTCCCAGCAAATTCAAGACCAACACTCAAGGCCAGCCTGAACTGCACAGTGAGGCCCTGTCTCAAAAACCAAAACCATTGTATTAACCATCTTTACCCTCCTATCATACTGTTTTGGAATTTTGATTTTTTGTATTTTCTTTTAAATAAATAAGTAAACCAGCTGTTTCTTTGCCTGAAAATTTGTTTCTCCCCTATATACTAAGCTCCACAAGGACAGGGTGGTCTACATTTGTTCATCATCATAATCCTCTTGTCCTAGTACAATATGAACTCATCGTATGGGCTATTAATGGGCCAGGCAATAAAACACAGGAGGACTGAAGCAAAGGCAAAGAGAAAACAAGAAAAGGCAGGATTTCCTCATATGTCTATAGTTTACAAAATTTCATGGCAGAATAATATTCTTAGCTGAATGACAGAAATTTCAATGTTATCATTTTTGGTTGATCTGCAGTTCAAGTGTGTTAAAATGAACACTGGGATATCGTGTAATTTAAAAAGAAAATGATTTTCCCAATCAGCATGACCGTAATTCTCACATAATTTATACCTTATGTAAAGCACTATTACTTCCCATTTAATTCCAGAACATTTATTATACTGTAAAAATATATTTATAAATATAACTCCTCTCCCTCACTGTACTGGGAAGTAGATCAAGGGCTTTCACATGAGCTATACAACCAGCACCAGGCCCTATTTTTAAATGTTTTATTTTGACACAGTCTTGTTAAACTGCTAAGTTCCCCATACTGGGCTCTGAGATATGCTCATGCCTCAGCCTTACACATTACATTAGGACCACAAGTGTGAACCACCACACCCAGGTCCTGGTTAATAACTAAGGAACCTGAGGCATAAAGAAGCTAAAAAGAAACAAACGCTGGTGGCACATTCCTATAATCTCAACTGTTGGGAGGCTAAGGGAAGAGTACCCCAAGTTCAAAGCCAGCCTGAGATCACAAGACTGTCTCTACAAAACCAAACCAAACTGACAAATAAACTGAGCAGTCTAACAGTACAAAGTCAGAAAACAGCACAGGTAAGAAGTGAGCAATGAAGTCCATCCTTGTTAGTATGCTACACTGCCTCTATCTAACTCTGACTCTAAAGGAAGCTTTAGACTTTCAGAAGTCAATGATTCAAGAAGTATGCAGTACAATATAACTTGTCATTTTAGGACACACACACACACACACAAAATCTGAGGTAACTTCTCTTACAATATGTTCTGTATTTTTACTTCCTTTGTAACATTATCTTTGAAGTTATCTAAAATGTTATCATACTCTACAATCTTTCCTAGAATTCCTATAACACCCATAAGCAACCTTATGACTCTGTGGAGCTGGCATCTCTACTTTTATTGTGAGATGAAAATTTAGAAGCTACAAGAGGCTAAAACAATTCAAAGGACAGCTAGTGGAGTTATAACACAAATCTAAAAGTTCTTTGCTTTCCTGAGATGTCACTAGGTGTAATAACAGTATATACGGCACTAGCTTTTGGGTTTAATTATCCTTTTCCTGTTGTTGTAGACAGCTGAGTTACTTAAAAATATTACAGGCATTCAGAAAGGGCTAGGCTCCCCAAGGAGGCAGTAAAGATGACAAGATACCTTACAACTGTGACAGACATACACATTCACTGTGGGCCAGACCTCCTCCCTAAGGATGGACATCAGGGACTGATACTCTAAATAGGTATCAATCACCTTGAAAACGCCAAGAAGAGCACTAACCCAAACTCCTACAGCAAGAGGCACTGTTACAGATTCAGGCCCTCTTGCTATCATGACTTGCTTCCCCATTTGATCCTGATTTCATCAACTTTACCTGAGCAATTATACTCGTATCCTTACTGGTTGGCCATAGTTTTGTCCCATCTCACGCCCAATTAAGTGAGTTCCTGTGTTTCCAACCTTGGACCTGCCTCAAGTCATGGTTTGCTCTACAAAAATCCCTAGAAAAAGCAGGTTTCTGAGCAACCCACTAGGGTCCCCTCTGTCGCTCTCTAGGTCAGAAGCTTTCTTTCCCTTAATGTATTCAGCTCTTAACCTCTGTTGTTCCTAAAACTCATCCTTTGGTTTCAGAGAAAAATGAACTTGTCCCAGGTTATCTTTATTTTTTTTAATTAAAATATATTTAAAATGTAGGGATAAAGAATCATATATGTTTACACATAAGTCCAGAAATCTAACCATATACAACATTGTTGCAGGACAGTCCCGAAACACTCCTTTTCCTGTCTCCTGCCTTCATTCACCACCCCCTTCCTTTTTAAACAATCATTTACCAAGAGAAAGCATGACAGCAACTGGCATTCACAACAGGCAGCACATATGCAGAAGACCAGAATGACAGGCACTCCAAACATGAACCTACTATTACAAATTGCCATCTTCAGTGCAGTTGCTTAGTTCACAGGTGTCTGTATATATCGTTAGTCAGGGTGAGAATTCTTCCAATTAACTGCTAGTTTTGAAAATCTTCTGAAGATTCTCAGGATCATTGCCTTACCCATCTTGTACATGTAACTGTATGTCTTGCCTCTGTTATGTTTCCTAGCTCTTCTCCTTGCTCTCTATTCATTGCCTAGTCCTCAAGTTCTTGCTTTCCTCTTAATTGTATTATACCTATTTGTATTCTATTTTGTATTTCTTCTTCAGGTTATCTTTCCTTGTCTCAGGTTGGAAGTTTCCCCTATATCACTATTCTGTAAAAATTTTTGATCTACTTAGAATGCCAACTACTATGCACTCAATGAAATAGCTCTGCGGATTAAAGCTCCTGCAAGCAGGTTCAGGGGCCCGGGGTTCAATCCCCGGGCATGCCATGCTGGCCCTGCTCCTGGGGTGCACTGAGAGGGCAATTGAGACTGGGCGTAGTGGTGCACTTGGGAGGCTGCAAACAGGAGAATCACTGAGTTCTATCCAGTAGTGAGACCCTGAACACCCTGTAGACCCTTCCCTAAAATACAGAAAAAAAAGTTTAAACGTATCATATATTCTGAAATCCAACTGTCTTTGCATTCCTAAAAGGCATCTCTTTGTTACTACCTACTGCAAAAGGTGTGCATGCCATGGCAGTCCCCAGCTGGTAGCTGACTAAAGATTATGTAGTATTATACTATGGCAGAAAATGTATCCTCATTTTGCCCATGTCCACAGACTTTTTGAGAAAGTGAGATTAAGAGCAGTGGAGTAATTGTTCAGTGGTGGAAATTCCAAAGCAGCTCACTCTTCAGGCTGTGGCATGGCACTGCAGACTGCTTTTTGCCCATTTCTACAGTGAAAACTGGGAGCAAAAATCAAATGTGAAATGACTGTGGCTACATCAGAAAGGACGCACCTGCAAAGGTGCGGCAAAGAGTAAAAGGCTGCTGAAAAAGATTACATTTCCACAATAGTAAGGATGGCCTGAGGGCATCTCAGGAATCTGTAAGACCTTCACCTACCCTGGGAAGGGTCAAGAGTGTAGAAGTATGAAGTTTTTATCTGCAAACAGAGCCCTCGTTTGGGGCCCTTGTTCAAGAAGGGTCACACAAGGAATCGGTTCCCTAGCATTAATTTCACTATGCTCAGCAATCCTGCCACTTAGAAGCAGCAGACCTTGGTGCCACAGACGTAGTACTGGTTCTGTAGTCATTCCAAATGCAAGAGATACACGGGCATGGATGCTTCCACCCAGATTTCAACAGATATGGAAACCCAGGTAGTGTGTAAAACTGTGAGAATTAAGCAAAAGGGCAGTGAAGACCTCAGGACCGTGGAGATGTAAAGAATGTGGAACATCTCCTGAGGAAGGCCACAAGCAATGAGCAGAGCCCCCTGAGAGAGGCTATGAAGGCTGCAAACAGCACTGTCACAAGTGCAAGGTTGCCCAAATCCTTTTCAGCTAATACTGTGCCACAACTTGTCCCAGACTCTGGACACTGAGTTGCAAGACCTAATGTTTGCACTACTGGGTTTCAGGCTTGCAGGGGTCTGATTTCTGCCTACTCCCATATCCCTCTTTAGAAATGGGAACATTTGCCATGGTATGTTGGAAGTGTTTAATTTTCTTTTTGGTTTTAGCAGGAGCTCACAGCTAAGTATTTGCCTTGAATCACAGAGGACACTGTGACTTAAAATGTTTCAGTATTATACTTTGTATATTATGGTGTAGACTCAAAAAAAAAGCAATCAAAATCTGCATATTTGGAGGTGTGGCCTGGGTAGAACAGGTAAGTCACTGTGTGACCTGAAAAGGCATATTCTCACCTCCCCTCACTTCCTGCAACCTGCCTGCCATGGGTTGAGCACTTCTTCCTCTTCCATGCCTCTCTGCCATCCCTTTTGTGTCTTGGAACCAGTCAATCATTGACTGTAAGCCCAAATAATCTTACCTCGTTAAGACTTGTGTCACATATTTTGTTTCAGTAAAAAAAAAAAAAAAAACACTAGTATTTTTTTAAAGGAATTTTCAATCAACACAGATTAGTTTGTTTTTTATTAGTGTCTGCAAACAGCCCAAAATCACTAAAATAGGCTGAATAAAGTTGTACTAAGCAATTCAACAACGTGATTATAGTGATTAAGACAGATTTACATATACTGAAGATATACTGTTAATTAAAACACAGCAAGCCATGGTAAACACAGTATAATTTTTCCAATGAAAACACACACAACTAAAAATAGTTGAATTTAAAAAGCACTACTTCTGAATAACCTTGGTAACTTTAATATTTTATTTTTAATTGTTTCTGTTCTATTCAAATAATTTTATAATTATTAAACATCTATTAAATTGTTTGTATTTTTTTTTTTTTTAATAATGCCCAAACTCTGACCACTGTTTGAAGATAGCAGTTCTTAAATCTGGTTTAAGAAATCTTTACACCTTGTTATGCCTTGATGTACTACTCCCAAACCCTTTTGTGCTCACAGGTGGGGCTTTTAGGAGGTGGCTGGATCTAAGACAGTAGAGCTGAACCTATGGCACATGTGTTGTTTTTCTTTTGAAACAAAAGATGTGAATGTATGAGTTGTTTTTAAAAAAAATTAAAACCTCAGTACTCATGTTTCATGGCTGCAATAAACTAATCAATTTTGGGTTTTAGTTTAGGCACTTGTTTCTAAAAGGGTTGATATCGCTGATCTAGTGTGTGTGAATATGAACTAAAGGTGTGTGATAACTAAATTAGTCCGCTGATTGGTTTAGCACAGTTTTGGGCATGGACAATGGTTGCTGTCTTAAAATTTCCTACAACTTAACATTCAGAATTATAAAGTTGCCGATCCTTAATTGAATTCTACACTAGTTTCTTACAAGAGTTACTGAATATTCCCTAACTGGAAGATATTACTATCTGAATAAGTCAGATCAATTTCCAAACACTGACTGTGCCATTTTATTTAAAAAGATTTGAGGGCTGGCCAGATAGCTCAGTGGATTAAAATGCCTGCTCAGACAGACGCAGGGACCAGGGCTCCATCCCAGGCATGCAGAGCTGGCCCCGCCCCTGAGGCGAGCTGAGATGGCTTTTGAAACTGGGCATGGTGGCATGTGCCTGTAATCCCAGCACTTGGGAGGCTGAAAACAGAATAATCACTACAAGTCTGACCTGGCAAGTGAGACCCTGTACTACATACGTAAAATAAAAAAATAAAAGATTTAGAAAGTGCTGAATTCTATGATGATACTTTCTAGAAATTTTGAAGTATATTGTTTTTATAAATGAAATGGTGGCTAGCCAACACAATACATTATTATACAATGTTATGCAGGCAAATATCTAAATTGATATTTGTTTATTGTAGACTAGGAGTCTAAATTTTCTTAAGAGTTTGTAAGTAAAATGATCCCAATCAGTGGTTTTGAGTTATTTTTAGCAAACACAAACATATATATATAATTTTAAGGTTTTCTTAAACCGTTTTTCTCTTATGAATATGGTCTTCAGCTGCATCCATTTACCTATTACAACTTGAGTTTTTAGCTGAGTAACACTCTGTTGTATAAAACACCACATCTTTTTATCCATTCCTCAGTTGTTGGGCATCTGGGTTTTTCCAAGATTTAGTTATGACAAACTGCATAAACATTTTTAAGTTTCTTAAATTCAATGGTTAGGTTCAATGTTGACCTTAAAGAGAAATTTGATTTGGTTCTTATCCAATTCAGTTTATAATCAGAATCATGGAAAGAATTAAGTTTGTGAACCACTGTACTGTGTGAAATCATCTTCTGTAGGCTCTAGATCTTGGGGCTTCTTTCCACTATCCACATTCACTTTTACTCTAAATTATTTCACAAATGTATTGTGAAATTTCCTCTACCAGCCTAGCCTGTCATTTTCTCTTATTTTGCCAAATGAAAGAAGGGTTTAATTTTTACCCTTCCAAGTACTTGAAATCCATTTTTTTCCTGTTTTATTTCTTGTTAATATACCACATCGTGTGTTATTTTCACCATTAGCTGGGATTTCATTCTGTCTTTTCTTTCTGATGATAGGATTATGTCTTCTTCAAAAACTACTTCCAGGAGGCCTGCCCCTTAGCTCAGTCCTTTAAGTGGCTGCTTCAACAACTCCATCCAGTCAAACCTACCCTGAAGGCATTCGGAGCCAAAAAAAAAAAAAAAAAAAAAAATCCTTCAAAAACTATTTCCATCATCTAATTTAGTCATCTACTCATTAAATCTGACCCAAACTTGTATCTGGGTTTTCAAATTAATATACAGCATATATTACAGTTCACTTATCCAAATTATTTTAATAGTACAATGGTCCAGAGTATAATTCAGAAAAGTGCTTGTCTTCAGAAAAGTACTCAAAAAAATCAAATAAGATTAAACAATAAAGAAAAAGTCTTAGAAAAAGACCTGTTGTCACTAGATGTAGAAAAAGAAAACAATGAATTTAAAACAGGATAAAAGGTCTGAGGGTATAGTTTAGTGGTACAGCAGGAGCATAGAGTTTCAGCCCCAGCACTATGAAAAAAACAGCTATTTCATATATTTTATTTCTTCAAATGACTGAAAAGCTTACTTCCTTAAAATTGACAAATTTGATATAAAAGGAACCCTAGCACACTAATACTCATTACTATTAGAAGCCTTAGAAACCTTTAGGATGTCTGGCCAGTGTGTCTAGTTTTGGTTATCCTCATGTACAATGGCACTCATGTAAAGGAGGGGCAAGTTCTAGGAAAGTAAGATGCATAGAAAAACTGTTTAAAAGAACTTTGTTCCTGATAGAATAGTTTGATATACTAAAACATAAAGATGTGGGCTGGTGAGATAGCTCTGCAGTCTAAAGCAGCACAGGGACTGTAGTTCGATCCCTGGCACCACATGCTGGGCCAGCACTGCCCCCAGGGAAGGCTGGACTCAATCAATCAATCAATCAATCAATCAATCAATGACATGTGACATGAATTTTCTCCCTGTACAGTGGCTGCAACTAGAATATAGTTCACAGTTAATGTCTACTAAATATAATGGTTAAACCATAAATTGAAAAATCAACTTTTTTGACTATATAGTGGTAATTTCTCATCTCAATCTAACATTCGTTTTAATTTTAACATAGGAGGAAAATAAGTTAATGTAGATACTCAAAACAATTCCTGCCTGCAGTCTGCCTAATACTTAGAAAAGGCTGTAAGTACTAACACAAGTCCAATACAACCTCTACCACATCAGGATATTAACATCTTCCTTTGCTGAAACTATCTATAAATTTGATAACCATAGCAGTCTCAATTTCCAAGCATCCCCAATTTCACTAGTTTCTATTATTTTCTGAACAATGTCTAAGCTACATTTTTAAAAACTAATTAAAAAAAATCTTCAGAAAGGTAATTGCAAACACCATTTTGTAGGGTAATAAAATGAATACCTAAACTCAGGGCATTTACATTTGAACTCAATCTGGCAGAACAGATATTAGAGAATTAAAATATCAGAAAGACTAGAAATTTTAAATTTAACAACTTCAATTAAGATGTAGTAGAAACTTCATAAATCATTTCCTTCTTTTCTGACACAATTTTTGAACACTATATATTCTCACAATGTCCCCCAAACTATATCATGAATTTCTGATTCCATGATTTTTCTCATACTGAAACAGCTTCCTTCCACACAAGTTTTATATTTTGCTGTGTTTTTTGAGACAGTATCTCACTATGTAGTTTTAGCTGGCCTTGAATTTGTGGTGATCCTCCTGTCTCTGCCTCCCCAGTGCTGGGACTACAGGTATACACCACCATGCCCAGTCTCCACACTAATTTTAAGCCTTCATCCATCTTCCTGACCTTGCCTACCTTTTTTGTATGTGATTAAATACAATCTGCTTTTATATGTTAGTTGATTTAATCTCTCAAAATAAGTTATCAACTTTCTAACAACTTCACAGCAAATCCTCAATATTTTCTCCTACTTAGTTGTTTGAAACGCACAGGATGATCTCAGAATACCTTGTGTGATTTCTCATCCAAGTCTCTACATAGAGATATGCAGTATATTACAAAGACACCTCAAATATTATAACTAATTAAAGCAAGAATACCAGTTAGTGTTTATCAGGCCAAAATTATTTTACTATTACTTTTCAAAGTCATATATATACTGAAAAAGGAGCTATTTTTTAATATGTGCTTATTATTAGCTACAGATCATTATCAGCACTAATTTGACAGACTATTATTAACCTAAAACTACCTTCTATAATATGATAGCTTTTTTAAGTCTCTTCTAGCTTTATCATTACCTGAAGAATTACAAAGAACTGCTTAATCATGAAGATTCCTAAATTGGGGGGGGGGGTTTGAGTTTGAGAACTCTATCAAAATATATCAGTGATTTTCACACTTACTTTTACAGAGAAATTAGTCATTTACAGAAATAAACTTTCCCAGAACAGTTTGTAGCTTTACTTACAGGGCATGTCAAGGACACTCGAAGACTAGTTGTAGCAATTTCACTATCAGGATCTGCAGTAAGTTTTTCTTTAACTTGAAAAAAAACAAAAAAAAAAATATATATATATATTTAAAAATGGTGACACGAGAATTTTAAAAATGTATTTTCCTTGTAAATTTACCATTTTAAGTCAAGAAACACAGACTGCTAAATATTACTGTATTGAAAATACAAGTATATTCCCAGTACTGTATCAGATTAAGGAATTATGAATGTACAAACTCTGGATGTTATATGTAACTAAAATTTTAAGATTTTTTAAAATTAGACTACTGGTATGGAAGAGTTAAAAAGCATTGTTTTAAGACTTAACAAAACAACTAGGAAAATTCCTAAAATGCAGTGCTATCCTGATTTTCAATGCTTTTCTAATATATTCAGTACTGTTTTTATTAGGTTGTTGCATTGGGTTTTTTACATAACTATTGAATTTTTTCGTTTGGTTTTTTGAAACAAGGTCTTGGGCTGGCCAAATAGCTCAGTGGACTAAAGTGCCTGCTTAGACAGGCAAGGGAATGGGCCCCAGATTGCTGTGCCAGCCCCGCCCCTGCGGCACGCTGAGACTGCAATTGAGACTGGGTGTGGTAGTGCATACCTGTAATCCCAGAGCTTGGGAGGCTGAAAACAGGAGGATCACTATGAGTACAATCCATGTAGTGAGACCCTATACTCCCTGTACTAAAATACATAATAAAAGAAAAGAACAAAGGTCTTGCTCTATAGTCCAGGCTGGCCTCAAACTTGCAATGATCCTCCTGCCTCAACCTCTCAAGTGTTGGAACTATGGGTATGCACCACCATATCCAGCAAACAACTATTAAATTCACAAACAGAAAAATAGTAATATTTTTATATTTTCTCTGACAATTGAAAACTATACAGATGATGTTTCTGTGATTATCTTTCACCAAGTAATGCATACATGTTTATAAAGGCCAATTTTCTCAGCTCCCTCCCACCCCCAATTAAAATACCTCATATAGTTAGTCTTATAACATTACTTACTTAGTGCTCTGGAATGATCAGGGTTTCTAATACCTTTCATTTTTAATCTCTGTAGTAACATGGCTGATGTCAGTTGTCGTACAAGATATACAGACATGGAATAATTCTATAGAAAAAGATACTCTGCATTAATGACTAGAGATAATATTCTCTTTATTTACATAAATACTTATCTAAAAGTACTACTTTTTTTTTTTTTTTTTTTAAGTACTAGTTTCTTAAAAAAACTCCAAGAAGGTCAATGACTGGAAAGAAGGAAAAAAATCAACTAGAGTACTTCATGGAAGATGTCAGACTTATTCTAAAGGTATTTCTCAATAACATCACTTTAACAGTAAATAGCTTCCTTCAGAAGTCTCTTTCCTTCTCTGTCTCTTGCAGTACTGAGGGCTGAATCCAAGGACTTTTCACACTGACCTACCCGGAGACTTTTTTATTTGAGAGAAGGTTTCACTGAGTTATTAAATTGACAAACTCGGGACTGAACTTGTAGTCCTTCTGCCTCAATCTCCCAGACTGCTACCACCATGCTCAGCCTTAAACTGTTTCCAATTTAACAAAATTTGCTACCTTATCAACTACCATGAGAACATACTCTCTCATATTTCCTCATAAGAAGATATTCCTTCTCTTTCAACTTACGTACTGAGGTACACTTTTATTTAGAAGTGATCCTAATGCAGAAATAAGGTTTGAACTTCAATGATCTGAATTAACACTTTTTTAAGGGTTCCAATTTTAGGAGAACAGACTACTTGCTAGATGACAGTAAGTAAATTAATCTAAGTCACTATCCACTCTCTTCTAAAGAAGGCTTTAATAACTCTATTACCTAAATGTGCATTTTACTGGGAAAGAGGCACCTACTACAGTGTAAAACACATGAAATAATAAACATCAAAAGACAAAGGCCAGAAAATAGCACCTTGTACCTCTTAAATTTGGCAGAAAGGACCTTCCTCAGCTACTTATGGAACTTTGAAGAGTAGAAATATAACTTAACCTAAATGCTAAAGCATTTTATCAATAAAATTATGGCAAAAAAATAAAATAAAATAAAAATAAAAATTAAATGCTAACGTATCCTTTGATCATTCCACTACACATAATTCAGCTGATGCCACAATAAGCCAAATATTTTTAATTGTTGGTAAACCAATCATTTTAAATACTTTTTAATGTTCTTTTAAATATCTAAATACCCAATATACTATGCAAATTTTAAGTCCTTTAATCATTTTAAGACAAAACAAATATTAGTCCTATTATATGGCAAAACTGTCAACTTTTCAACATCTATAATCATTTCTCTGCAAACCTATGTAAGCTACTTCCAGCTCTACAATTACGTTGGTGGTAAAGCAACAAGGGTTGGGGAGATAGCTCAGTAGAACAAGCGCTTGCCTGCAAGCACAGGGCCCTGAGTTCAATCCCTAGTATTGTTAAAAATAAATAAATAAATAAATAAATAAAAATACAAAATTTGCTGTTAATATGCCTTCTTCAACCTCTAAAAATATTTTATTTCCATGGAACAAGAACACTCAATTGGCCCGGAGAGATAGCTCAATAGAATAAGCACTTGCCTGGCAAATGCAGGGTCCTGAGTTCAATCCCCAAAACGTAAAAAAAAAAAAAAAATCAACATTAGGGCCAGGGAGATGGCTCAGTGGAATAAGCGCTTCCCTGGCAAGCACAAGGACCTGAGTTCAATTCTTCCCTGGTTCCGAAAAAAAAAAAAAAAAAGAATTCTCAAACATCATGATGTTCCGATATTAACTGAAATTTATTTCCTCATTCATTTTGTTTTGTAGTTCTAAAATGCAAATTCCCTGTGGTATTAATGTCTCATAATTGATATAACTGTTTGAAAATGAGAATCAGAAGAAAGCCAGGTTCATGAACCTGCAGCAAGTAAGTCTAACGGAGCCTTTTTATATGAGATGCCCACTTAGTATCTGAACTATTTATATAAAGGCTAGAACAAATTATTTCTAATCACAACGTAAGTACATTTAACTCTTTCCCCAAAGACTGATAACACACCGCTCTTTGCTCCTCTTCATACCTACTTATCACCCAAATATTAAATATTACTTGTATCACACACAACTATTATTAAATATGTAAAGAATATAAATTTATTCCCTTTCCTAGAACATAGAGACAATACTCAGTTAAAAGTTTTCAACTTTAAAAATCCCCATACTACCATTCCTGAATTGAAAATTATTGCTTTTAAACAATAAAGATTGCTTAAAGATTATAGTAAGAAACCAGAGAGAGGTGGTATCTCAAGAAAAAAATGTACTCTGAGGAAACCAACTCTGAGTAGAGAAGAGAATCTTACCTTTCCAATTTCAGATGCCCAAGAAATAGAAATCTGATTTGGCACAGCTGAAGACAACCTAACTAAAGATGTAATATTCAAAGGGCGTCCAGGGCGCTTCTGCTCAATCCCATTTTTAGGTGGTGGTGCATAGCCCTATAGCCATAAGAGAGAAAAAAAAATCATATTCTCTGTAGGGAAGAACTTGCCAATTTTGTTTGCTCTAGGTTATTTTTATAATATCCTGAAAATGACAGGCCAGAGAAATATAGAACAAAAATCCATGTTTCACCATTAATGACATCTCTTGCCAGTTATTAGTTTTAAAGTAAACACCCTAGCTCTGGGGGGAGGGGGGAGTTAGTGATGGTGAACCTTTTAGAGATGAGGGCTCACATTATAAACCAAAACCCATTTACTTATTGCAAAATGCCAACACTGCAATTAAGCATGAACATTGGTTTTAGTTTAGAAAAGACAACTCATACATTAACATCTTTTGTCTTAAATGAAAAACAATACTTGCATGCCATAGGTCTTCCAGCATTGGAGTATGTTCTGGCAACATCCTAAGATAGCAACTGAAGAGAACAACAGTGGCAAAGGTAGGAAAGGAAATTTAATCATATAGCTGTACTGGTAGGTAAGACAAGGGAACCAGGCCCAATTCTGTCTTTGCAGGTAAGTACTGCCAAGAGTTTTAGATTTCATTATGTGCTACATGCACATAAACACTCTTGGTCGCGCTGGTATGGATGATAATTATCTCTAAACTAGTTGAGAAGTGTCATCACAATCACTTGAAGGGGCAATTTGGTTCTCTTTTTGAGATGATAGCAACTTCTTGGGGGTAGGGAGATAGGTCCTAGATCTCCTCAGGAAATAACTGTTCCCTGAACCAAGTGATTGTTGTCACTTAGGAGAGCAATGCATCATGGACTTGCCTGCAGTAAGAAACAGGCTCTACTATTCTTACAAGTTGAGGCCAATCACTGAAGACTGCTAGGTCCTGCTGGGATTACATGGGTGTGAGTAGGGGCTTGAATAGGAAGGATATTGTAAAAGCTGGCAGTTGAAGACTTTAGTTACTCTTCCACTGATGTCCAGGTTTGGTTTTTTTTTGGGGGGGAGAGACACTACCAGCTTTAGACAAACATTACTTAAATGATTTAACAAGTCTGTGATATGCAGAGTTGAGCAGTAGTCTGATCCAAAGTATAAAGTAATAAAGGCAACAGAAAATGGAAGGTTGAGACGTCACTTTTATCCTGAATTACCCCTCAAGTATCTATGAGCCTACATAAAGAATTATTTTAGTAAAAGCACCTTCTAAGTCCTTATACAATATTTGCTCTGAATCTTTTTTTTAAGCAAGAAGCTTTTCAGATAAAACTGAACCTCTCTATAATTATCTTAGGAGGCACCCCAGTACAAAAATACATTCATACACTAAGATGGGAAAAAGAAAAAAACCAAAAACTTAAGAAATTAAAACAATGAACACATTAATGAATCTTAAAGGTATTACTCAGATCCTGTGAATGATAAAAAGCTCTCCACTGCCTTTTCTGAGTAGAGCACAAACAGATTTAAAAACAGCACAAGTCAATACACAAAACCATCACTATTTCAGCTAGATTTAATTAACTTGCCTTTCCTCTAAACAGGAAACACTCTTGATTCACAGTATATCCGATTTTCATTTACAAGATTTTTCATACTGATTTTCAAAACCAGCAGGTTTTAACACAATTAAATTTCCTAGCTGCAGTAACACCTAATGAAAAAGACACTGTATCTCATTGACTGCATTGTCATAGATGTAATTTAATCATATACCAGTGACAATTAAAAAACACTTAAGCTAATCATATAGGTTAATGTTACAGTTACTTATTTTACAAACATGGAAAGGAAACATAAATAAAATTAATTTACTGACATTGTTTTAGGACACAAACAATCTTTGGAATCACTTCACTTAGTCATCAATGTATATTTGTCCAAATAATGGTCTTACATATAAACAAGATTGTTACAAGTAATAGTCTCCATATTTCATTAGTATTTCTCAGATTTCCTTTTAAGTTCATGAAAAGTAAAGGGCATGCAGGTAACCAATAATGTCTGGGGAACGGCAGCAAAACTGTACAAGGGCAGGTAATGACAAAACATCACAGATGCCATTCAGTCATCAAGAACTTTAAGACACTGGTGAATTTCTGCAATGTTGAATTATTCACCTCACAACAAAATTTAGTATTAGTATTGTATATAGCAGAACTAAAGAACACCATCAAGTTGTCTACAACTTACCAACATCCTTCACTGTCATAAAAGAATAGTCTTATTAAGGGGGACTCCACATGATAGCTATAATCTATAACTTGCAACAAAGAACTTGAAAATCATCTAACCCATGTGAACAGGAGAGTAAAACACAAAAAGAACTTTCACTATACTAGAAATGGGAGTGACCGTATGTGTGTGTATAGGAGAGGCACACCCAACTACATTTGCTAATGTGGAATGCAGCAGAGAAAAAAGACTCACTACAAAATCAATGGACCACAAATAAAAAGAATACCAATACCAGTATTTAGGCAAACATAAATGGAAACTGTTTTTGTTTTACTTCTTTTTGGCCCTGGAAGATAGCTCTGTCCTTCAGTGTACCTACTGGTAGGTTAACCAAATAACAATGGCACACAATCTGCCAACATAATAAAAATAACTCATGACCTAGTTAAATATGAAATTTGTAAATTAGAATTTCAGTCTTAAGACATCTTAATAGCATGGAAGGGAGGAATAAAAGTCAGGAGAGGGGCTGGGGATATAGCTCAGCAGCATAAGCTCCTGCCCAATAAGTGCAAGGCCCTGAGTATAATCCCTGGTACCGCAAATTAAAAAAAAAAAAAGTCAGGAGAATAACAGTGAGTGCAAGAATGTGTTAAGCTAACATAAAATTCTGTGGTGTTCTAGACTTAAACACCAAAGTACTTTCAAACTATTTTCTACTCCATTTGAATGGCTTGACTTCACTGTTAATTTTGAGCCATCTATTTAAATTATATTCTCCCTCTGTTCAACTGTACCACTTCCATCCACCATCTCATGATGGTGTTACTAATAGCTTATAGTTGAAATTTAATACAATATGAGTGATTAGACTTCACATATTTCAACAACTTTCAAAACTTAAAGCAAAAATAAAATCAAGATCATTTGAAAGTGATCTGGGGAACAAATCCACAAACTTAATCATGGATAGAGCTTGAAAAAAAAAGACTGCATAGGTCCTTAGCTTAACAATAAAGGCAGAGACAGACTCAAAGAACATTTTATTTTATATGCTATGAAGATGTATGTATTGCCCTACTTGCAACTCTGAGAACAGTTTTTAATGCTGATCCTTTAACATTTCCCAAAATTTCAGATTAGTATTACTTTAATATCATCAACACAGATTTAAAGAAATTTTCAAGCACACAAGGTGTGATAAATACAGTAATTTAAATTTTTAAAAATTAAGGTATTACAGAAAAAGGAACACTGCCTTAATCTGACTCAAAATACTACACACATTAAATTAACTTATCCTATTGTTCTTACCATTTTCTGAAGCAGTTCTGGAAGTCTTGTGGAAGTACCTTCAATTGTACTCTCATGCCTGTCCTAATGTCCCAAATTAATTCAAAATGTTTACCTTTCAAGGTTATTGACTTTGGAGAAAAGTCAAAAGTGCCAAATCCAGTGAATAAGGTGGATGAGGACATACCATGTTTTTATTAGCCTGCCTTTCCTCCGTATGGACTGAACAGCAGCATTCACTATGGCTTCAATTATACCTTGTAAAAGATACTCCAGAACAGCTTCACAAAGTGGCAAGAATAACGAGGTATGTCTGAAATGAGTGGTGGCATCTATGGGCATGCTACCCTGAATGCACCCAATCTCATTTGAAATGAGGGGTGGTATTCTGAAGGGCACAGATGACAATGTATCTTTTACTATATATATTTAACATTTGCCATATATTTTATGACCCCTTGTAAACAAAAGTAGAGAGAACAGCAGGTACCTGTCAACCAGCTTCAGTAATTAACGTGTTTCCTACCTTATTTCATTTGCCTCTGAAACTCAGCTGCCATCTGCCACAAAACATACCTATCACATAATTACTTTTTCCCTTTAGTAAGTACAAATTTTAAACACATCATCCAAAGACTGATATTTCAGTCTCCAAGAATTTTTAAGATATAGTACCACAACTCAAAGAGATAAAAAAGCAAAGATATAAAAAAAAGATAAAAAAGTAAAGTGAACCCTCATTTACCCATCATTCAGTTCAATAATTTAGTCATAAACAATTTTTTACTACTCTACTCCACCTCCATCCTATATTGTAGCAATACCTTAGTTCATAAAGTTTACAAACAATTCAATTCACAAATAAGTGTTTAACAAAATTTTGCTTCCATTCGCAAACTCCACACCACAAGACAAATATGACCAGGGACCATCTACCACATATATATACAAATGTAAGTACTTTCTCCGAACTCATAAAGCAAATTAAATTCATAAACAAAGGTATTACTGTATTGTAAAGCAAACTCCAGACATATTTCATGCATAATATGATGTATTAGATGTCCTTACCGTTTGATTCAGAATTCAAACTAGGCCTCACATGCAAGTAATATCTCTGCTTATTCTACGAATACCTCCCCCAACTCACGACACACATAATTTTTGACCTTTGGACCTGAAGAGTGACCTCACATTCTAGATTAGGTAGATTTCTTCTTTGTGATACATCAAGTCTTGCCATTTTCCATATAATTTTTAAACTGGTAGTCAGTTGTACAAACTTGGTTAAATTGAGGGTCAAATTTTTGACAAAAATTCTTCATAGGAAATGTTTCATACTTTCTATGGGACCTTATCATAAGGTATTTGAAGGCTGTTTGCCCTGTTTTCAGTAATGCAAGGTTGGTTCTTTCAACTATAAGGTCAGAGCTCTAATCTAATGACTTTAGCACTTATGAGATCAATTATATGATTATGAATCATAAAATAATTTCCTGTTTTATTTCTTTAACTGTATTAACTGCAATGCTTCCAAAAAAAGACCTTGATAACATCAATATCTGGTTACTAGAAAATGATTAGCTTTTTTTTTTTTTCTTTGTTGTGGTACTGGAGATTGAACCAAGGCCTTGCTCATACTAGGCAAGCACTCTACCAGTGAGCTACATCCCCAAACAGTGTAAGATGTAGGATTATCTTTTACCAATTTCCAAAGTAATGAGTGGGTATGGCCTCTAGTGATTTTAGTAAATTATAAATCCATTTACACATGTGGCAGTTTAAGTTCACTGCAGTTATTATTTTAGAGGTCATAATTATCCCATCTTGGAGTGCTCTTCTTAAAAGATAGAAAATGTTGAGCTCCCTTCGATCCAAATTTGCTATGAGGCAGATCACTGGAGTGAGAGCATCCAGAAATGAATCCATGATCTCAGAATTTATTAGGAAAAAGGGACCAGTACTGATAGGTCTTCTAGCTACACCCAGAAAAACTACTTTGGGGTTTTTTTTTGCCGGCTAAATGGTATCATATATATTCTCCATTCTCGAGAATCTTTTCAAAAAACATCCTTCCTGTCAACTCTACTTCCCTGTTCAATCCTACAGCTTCACAGGTTTTACAGAAATTTCCCAGTACCTCTTAAAACAGAAAAGTAGGGGCTGGTGAGATGGCTCAGTGGTCTAAAGCACCCACTTAGAACAAGCTTAGCAAAGCACAGGGACTGCAGTTCAATCCCCCGGCACCACATGCCAGCCAGCCCCGCCCCCTGGTGGGCTGAGATGGCCACACACACAAATAAATAAAATTAAAAAAAAAAAAAAAAAACCAGAAAAGTAACTCAGGTGGCTCAAAGAAGTGTTTTCCCCCTCTTCTGGCCATAAAAACATGAATTTTTATTGTCTGGCTATTGTTCTGTACAGTAGCAACTTATGGAGTTGAAGACAAAGGGGAAGGAAATGTCTTAAGGCAGTTTCTTGTCTGTCTATGCTGCAGGGTATCACTCTATGAGCTATTTACTATCTTTTCTACATCAGGGGATGTGGAAAATCAATGCAAACAAGTATTTTGTAAAACTCATCATCTCAAAGTGGGTAAAAAAGCAAAATAAGCTAGTTGTTAAGGTTTATATAGTTGTCCCCCCAAATCCTCATGCAGTCATTGACTAAGGCAGGCTTCTAGAGTTCATGATTGATTCATATAATCCAGTACTGGGATTATGGGTGTGAGTGGCACACCCACCCTGGGGTGGATAGCCTGAATACAATATAAGGGAGAGAAGCTTGCTCTCTGCCTCTGCCAGTATTGCTGCTGTTTCTACTCCTGCCCCTTTGTTCTTGCTGTTTTCTGCCACCATGAACTGCTGCCCTCTGCCATGTGCCACTCTGCCTCGGTGCCAGCTGATTATGGACTGTTGGGTATTTTGTTCTAACAAGAGAAAAGTTACCAAGACACTACTTTCAACACTATTTGATCTTTAGGAGTCCAGAAATAGGCTCTTTTCAAAGTAATATTTTCCATTCCACTTACTTCTTACATGCAGCATAGTGTCCAACTGCTGAGTGCACAAAGACTGGATATTATAAGGCAATATATGTAACAACTTGCTCTAGGACACAATTAACTCAAATATATTCAAAACTCTTAAGGGAAATTCTATGACCGTGTAAAAGTTCATCTCTCCAAAAGCTGTTTTTCAAAGATCCAGGACCATAGGGAACGACAACACACAAATCTTCATTTGTGACCTGTTGGTACTTATATTTGGAACAAGGTCTTTTAAGCATAAAAGCACAACTTAACTCCTATAAGTATCATCGTAGCTTTCTTCTAAGGCTGCCAGGTATTCGCATTATTTTCATAAGCTTCAGAATTCCATTTCATGCTAATAAGAGTCTACATTTCTCTACTCTCAAGAATATCAGTTGTGGAATAGGAAATGATTTAGGAACTTTCAGTCAGTTACATGTAAATTGTCAGTTGTTTCACGGGTGCTCATAGTGCTCTTCAGGAAAAGATGCCTTTTGATTTTCTTTAGGGATTGCCCTATCCAGGTTATGCAAGTCTTTCCCATAGTTTCTGAATTTTAAAGTAATACATATGTCTTTATCTTTCTCCCCTTCCTCTTTCTTCTTTACAAATGCCTTTAACTTGAACGATGAATGCATTCCAGAATTAAAAGACAAATGGTGTTTTATATAGCAGCTGGTATGTTCACTAACATCTTAGTGTAAGTAACTAACTCAAGGTCAGTTGGTGCTTTGGGGAGAAACTAGCAGTGGCTGACTGAGTAACAAAGAAATACTCAAATGAAATGCTCAGTGGCCTAATTTTGCCTCAAAAGGACAAAAGGAGTGATAAATTTAGTTTTACAGTGGTGCTACAGACCCTGTCTGTGAAAAAAATATCCCAAAACATGACAGACTGGTCTCTATTGAAATTCTGTGGAATTTTTATGTATACACATATCCAGCAACCCTATTTCTGGGGCAATTCCAAAGAACTTCGGAAGAACCCCACACATTCAGGCACACCTGCATCACTAGCACAGTATCACTGATGATACGGGATAGATCTTTAGGGTTGAGTCTACAGATATTAACAAAGCCTCTATAATTATGCCTTTCTTCAACAACAGCAGGGAAAATAAATAGGACTGGGAGCCAAAATCATAGGAATCTTATCACATCCCGGGCAAAGAAAAATGGGTATGAAAAGAACATGGAAAATATGCAGAGGGTCATTCTATAATCTGCGATTCTGCCAGCCTTTCTTTGCCACACATCTGGCCACAAACTGCAATCCTATAGATTCAAATAGGTCTGCTTCTTCCCTTTGTTCAGATCTTAGTGAAATTCACTTAGATAAGATAGCCCCTGAGTACCTATTCCTGGAAGGAAGAAACCTAAGCAGCAAAATATCTCACCTGCATTTCAAACATGTATGAGATCACGTAAATAATTCTCTGACTGTATCTACCAAGCCCCTACATCTACCCTCTGATCCCCAGTAATAAATTGATTTCAATCCCACATGCATCTTCCAGAAGCTAATCAATGTTGCTTAAACTCTGTAAAATTCATGGAACAAGCATTTCTCAGTTCTCTAAACTCACAGGTTATAAACAAGACAAAAAATAGTCGCAACAACTTAAAAAAAAAATCAGATTCCACTGCCAGCCTGAACCATATCTTCCCTTGGAGGCTCAACTATAAACACTTGGCTCAGGTAGGATTCAGGGTACCAGATTATGTTGTCTGACTTGTTCAGGTTCTCAGAGGTATTGCATGTATATTCATTGCAGAGCCAAATTTCATGCCAGGCAATGATGCTACAGTTTCCCCATCTCAATACTGCTTTGCTGAAATGGCAGCTCAGCACATTGGTGGGGTCACTGTTGTAGAATGCTTCAATTAAAACAAACATACCATAGCACTTGACAAACAGCAAAGGTTGTTGTTTTAATGGCTTTGTTGGCCTTCTATGTAATTTAGCAACATATTAAAGGGTTCAGTGGAGAGTAAGACATCATTTTAAATGTTATCTTACAACTTTACTTAGGGTTTGAGGATTCCATGGCTACCTATTAGGCCAGAAACAGGCTATACACATTCACATTGCATATATCCAATGTGATGAAGTTCACATATTGCTCCGTAGTCAAATAATGGGTTATTAATTAAACAGTATAGTGCACTCATCGCAATTATGTGCATCATCAAGGCCCAAGTTTGAAATTCTAGACTTCTATGACCAGTTGCTCTCAGAAGTCTCTGCTTCAATAGCATCCATGCCGCAGGCTGAACTCATCTAGATACCTGCCACACATCCTACTATACATTCACGTGCCAAGTTCCACCATTTGTTAGGATCCCAGGGATCTTTTAGACCTTCTTTGAATTACAGAACAAGATATTTGAGGAGTTTTTAAAAATCCCCTCAAATTGGAAAACATTTATTTCTCTAAGAAACTATAAGTTTCTTATGAAAAAACAGTATCTAATATGAATGCTACAGCTAGTCATTTGTATTGAGTTGTCACTTTCTAGATCCTGTTGGTGTTCATATAAAACTTAATAAAAATCTGACCAATAAAAAGCAACTTACAGGTAAAGGAAACAGCTTCCCATTTACTTTTATACACAGACTATTTGGATAGTTATCTTCTTGAGGACAACTTGTCTCTGCCAGGCAAAGTCTGTATTTAAAAAAAAGAAAAGAAAAAGTGCTAAATAGTGTAACCAAACATGGTATGTGTTTTCAAATTTAGGGCTATATAAATAGTTACCAAGTATAAAATTACAAACTAAATTTCAAACCCACCTCAGCTGAACTTGAACTGTATAATCTCTCCGACCACCTGGCAAAAAGTCCCTGTTTGAAAGAGAAACAAAATGTGTTAAGTGAGCACAGTAAGATTTTATAAAACATTCTCACCAGAAAGATAGGCATCATTCACATATTAATTCTTACTCCTCAAAAGCTGAACGTTTCCCAACCAATATAGTGTAAGCCTTTTGTAAAATACTACAATGATAACAACCCCCACTGACTTAACTTTTAAGTAATATCTACATGGCACTCTTAAGTATTTTCAATTCATAGGAATTATGATTATGCAATAGTTATTTCAACAGACAATAAATTGGATTTGGATTAACATGAAAAGGAGCATCCCTGATTCTAAAGAAGTTGAATAAATTAACCTATGATTAGTGATACTTTACTTTGGCTGAACATTCTAATCACATGCAGACTCCTTACTCATTTGATATAGAGTTCTATACAGCTTGACAATAGACTGTACATGTAACTTAGGTGATTCTAATATACAACCTGTGTGTAGACTCCTAGTCTTCAAACCTAGTCATAGCAGTTTTGTAATTATCCAACTACAAATACAGAACTTCTTATAATTTGATTTAAAAAAGAGCTCCCTATAAAGTTGCTTTGATTCTGAACCCTCTAAGCCTTCCCACTCAAAATGGAGTCCACAATGAAGTTGGCAATACTACTCCTTAGAAATGCAAACCCCATCTCAGACCTACACAATTATAATATGCACTTTAACACAATCCCCAAGTGATGTATACACACTATCGAAGTATTATCTTTAGCCATTATGCTAAATCTTGCACATAAAGAGTCCTGTCCTTTCAAACTTAACATGGTACACTGTCCCTAACCTTGTTCTAACTGGACAGTCTATGCTCTCTTTCTACTTTCTGGACACCATAGAAGGCAGTAAGACAAAGCAGTGACCAACTAGGAACCTATAGTTCTAAACTGTATGATTTCACTTAACTTTTCTGTTTATTGTTACCTCTGTTAAAAACAGACAAGTACTGTACCTACTGTAACAAGTTATGGTGGTAATTAAACAAATTAATAATACAAGTAAAATGCCTGGGTTAAGACACAATCAACAAGTGTGAGCAGGTGGCTATCAATGTCTCTTCTGCTCCGTTTGTCTTGCCACATGTTCACCCTTCTCAAGAGTTTCTTCAAAACATTTCAATATCCCAGAAAATACTGACCTCTTCTGAGCAAACCATATCATTCCACTCATTTAAATCAAGAAACATTTCAGTCTTGGCACTGGAGCTTCAAAGACAGTAAAACAGTATTTGCTACAAAGGATTCCTCATAG